GTTTGTTTTATTCACACTCCGAAGTCTGAATGATATTTGCTCAGTGATGCTATTCATGTATGTAGTCTTTTGCACATCAGCTTGCCATTAGTATGAGCTCTGCAGTCAAAATTAACTCATTTTATTGTGACTGATCTTTTCACTTAACTTGACAAGTTTTGATAAGAGCTTGTTCAGTATGTGACAGTAAATATCATGTATTTTGTACACAAGTTTTTTCTTAAACCTTTGTTGAAACTAGTAGGAATTGTTACAGAAGAAGTTATTGTCTGCTCAAGTTTTCATTTTGCTCAATTTCATAGACACATTACAGAGGTATCAAATGTCAATGTTTAGCCTTTGGGTTCCCTTTGGTTGTGGTTTTTGTGAGTTTTGTTTTGGAGTGGTTGAGCATTACAGAGGTATCTCTCTCTTTATCCACATCTATCTATCTCTCTCTCTCTCTCTCTCTCTCTCTCTCTCTAAGTTATATATAGCCAGTTTTATCGTTTCTTCATATTTGTGTGGCCATAGTTTGGATTTTCCTTGTATTGTCAAGCCTATGGCTAGTGAACCATACTGAAGGTTATTGTAAGTTGTTCTACTGTAATGAAAAATCAAGCTTTGAATAGAGTTTTCATGAGCTTGCCTAAATTGGGTTCTATGTAGATTATGTTCTATGAAGGCTAAGAAGGAAACATGACAGTGCATACCTTACAGCCAGTATTGAATTGCAGAATGAGATATGCTACAAGACGATTTCTTTTTCCTTGGGCTCTCCTTTGTGTAATGTATGCATTAGCAACTGCCTTGATCTTTGTATAATATGTTTCTTTTGGAGTATATGTGCCATTTGTTTTCTCTTATATTGTTTTTAGTTTTGGAGTTAATGATATTGCTCTGGTTCAAAAAGATAAAATTTATTAACAGAATATGACTTAAATGAAAAATGAATATATTAATGTACTAAAAAACTACGATCTATATTGATGCAGTAATCATTGGAAGTTTGATTTCACACGTCTAACATAGAAACAGTGGCTTGCTCAGAAAGAAATAATAATAATAATAATAATAATAATAATAATAATAATAAAAGGGATGCAGTTGGGGATGCGATATTGCGTATAAAAAGCAGGTGGGCGAAGGGGTTGCGGGTCGCTGGTGGGCGAGGAGGTCAGAGAGAGAGAGAGAGGAGGCGACGGCTCAGAGGAGAGAAGGCAGCGTGGTTTAAAAAATTTAGGATGTTTTCCGGTTCCACTTGAAAATGTGGTGAAAAGAAAAGCAAAGGGAAGATTTCATATATTTGGGTGTATGTTATTCGGCATATGAGTAAATTCTGTACCTATTAGGAAAACAATGGTCCTGTTACTGGAGCTTAATTCCATCCATCAATGGGTTAGGCAGACGTGAATTTCCACTTTTATAAATTTCGAGCTAGCCTTGAGGGTATTGTTTTGAGATGTGATGATGCATGAAAGAATGATGTCATACCAGTTTAGTAGTAAATTGAATAGCATACTTATTTTAGGTGTTGCTCCTTGGAGAGTGTATTCTCTCTCTATTACTATTATTGATGATGTTGGTGATGACGGTAGGAGTGAAGAAGCCCTTCACATAGCGTTTATCTACAATTTCAAGCAAATAAAACCAATATACATAGCATATCAATGACCGAAATATAATTCAAAATGAACATGATAAAGCTAGAGAGAGAGAGAGAGAGAGGCAGATCAATAATCCCATATGGAAATATTCACATTACCAAAATTGGAAGTGCTTGTGGTGGCAATAGAGTTGTCACAGTTATGTGTACAATTATATACAACATCTGAAGGCCTATGTTTGCATCTGATCATGCACATGCCAAGGCATATTGGGTTCATCAGGCACTTTGTCGCACATTTTAAACCACAAGAAATAAGATGACCATCTGGAACCACATGATTTGTATTGGAAGGATCAGAGACATCATCAACTTGACCAAGAGTGTTGCCATTTGAAACCGTATTGGTATAGGAAGGATTAATATCAGCTTGAGCTATTGCAAGCACAAGCATGCTCATCAAAACCACAGCCCTCAAGAGACTAGCATCCATACCTCCCCTTTCTTTGTTTCAACTTTTATTTTATTTTATTGAACTCTGTTTGATTGCCGAAGTTTGTTGGTGGAAGAAGTGGAAGCTATAAAGCCACAATTTATAAGGAGACCCTGTGGCCATCTATGGTTCTAAGCATGATTGTAGCTAATTACATGAGCTGTAATGCAGCATATATTGAAGCGATACATGCAGGACTATATCATTTTGAGCATAACATACTTGCAGGACTATCATTTTGAGCATAATTGAAGGTCTCTCTTTTGATTTCATTTGAATAAGTCCGAAATATTTATCTGGTGAGCGTCAAATTATTGTTAACTGGTGGATGTAATTTAGGCGGTTTGGTAGTATCATAATATATATTGTTTCTCATTGTACGGAAATGACAGAATTATTGTCTATTTTCTTGATCAATTGCAGGTATGCTTTGATTTAGTTGATCTTGACTGTAATGGAGCCTTTTTCTTTGAAGATCAATTGCATAGAGTCCCTTTGATTAAGTCTTTTTGTTGGGACAATTATGTGCCTGGTGAAGTTGGTTTGTATTGGAAGGATTAGAGACATCATCAATTTGACCAAAAGTGTTTCCATTTGGAAGGGATTAATATCAGCTTGAGCTATTGCAAGCACAAGCATGCTCATCAAAACCACAGCCCTGAACAAACTAGCATCCATTTCTCCTCACTTTTGTTTGTTTGTTTGTTTGTTTTTTTAATCATTAAACTCTGCTTGATTCTCGAAGTTGTTGGTGGTGGAAGTGGAAGCTAAAGCCACAATTTATAGGGAGACAAGTGTTAATTATTGTGGTTTGCCTTTTGTTCTGTTGTTGTTGGTGATTCATTGTTGTGTTGCAGTGGTGGAGTGGACAAATGAATCTCTTCAAGGTCTTGGAAAGGGTACTCCCTTTTCACTCTACTTGACACAAAAGTATTTCTCCAGAGTTGCATCTGCACTTGAGAAAAATGACAATCAACTATCCACAGTGAGTCTAGAGTTTCTACCTTTTCATTTCCTTCATCATGTGGTTGCATTCCTTTTGATAGGTTTTGTTTTCTAGTAGCTCCCCTGTTCTAAAAATAACATTTGTAATCATTATGTACTTGTCGAAATCCAGTTAACTGGTGTGACGGAAACTGAATATCGCATCGCCCTAAGATCGTCTTTTCGGAATGATACTGCCAAAGGTGTACGGGCTGTTTTGGTGGACAAGGATCAGGTTCGTTAATATGATCAAGATTCCTTCCTATAAATTGGCAGAGGAATGTAGTTTCAGGAAATCAATGATGACAAGAGAGCAATTTGGCTTGAAAAATCTCGTTTGATGTTTGCAACACGCGTAACATGGATCAACTTGAAGCTCTCCACCTCTCCATCTGTTCAATAAAGGGAAAATTGTAGATGGTTTATGATGAAATGAAAGGTGAAAAATGACGAAGCTGAATGCGAAGTTCACAACTATTTTAGGTAAAAGCTAAGCTCCAAGGGTCTTACCTTGATTCTTAGGCGTGAAACTCTCAAGAAGTTTTAAATCATAGCAAAACAAAACATCCCTGCCAATTGCATTTGTTATGCTTAAAGTAGACCACTAAATATCAGGCAAGGAAGGACCCCTTGCTCTTCTAGTTGCCTCAGATTACAACCATAAAATCCAGCCAGTTCTTGGGTCAAGTAGTTTCACCAATTACATTGACATTAAAGTGCACCAGAGCTGTCTAATTTAGGAACATGTCATGTAAATCCATCTCTTTTGGGGTCGGGGAATGCCCATGCTATTTCATCAAGGTTTGGAGTCTCTAGATACCAAAAGCAAACTATTCAAGCAAGCTCCTACTAATAAGCGAGAACAATTATGATTGCAACCAATAAGTGATATAATTCTTAACATATGTGATATATATACACTATTTTTTGTATGTATTATGAGTTCGAATTTTTGATTCTTTATATTTTGTAAGAGGCCCCCACACACATGAAATCCTAGCTTCGCCACTGCTACTAAGCACTGACAGCCTAAATACTGATAGAATAGAAACTAAAATGCCTTAAAGTGAGATGAAAGCTCGTTTCAAACCAGTCCACAGGTATTTGAATTCACGGAATTTGAGCTTACCCTTTGTGAATAGTCCTCAATTACAAAGGGAAGGAACTCAGAGTGCGATTCCTGCAAGCAGTTTCAATAAAATGTGGAGTGGACTGTGGAGAGATAAACGAACAATTGGTCTGTTTCTGTTTGACAGCTGAGAAAATGTATTGCATAACTTACCAAGGAAAGCGCGATTGCAGATTTTGATCTTTTCCGAGTAGCCCCTGAGATCTGAACCGTTTTGGATATCCTACCGACGTCGTCCCAAGTGAAGGCATCATTGGAGGCTGAGACTGATGCAGTACGACAAGTGACAACTTTGTGAAAAGCTTGCTGGTTGGAACGAACTGGGAACGACGTCGTAAGTGTCTTGGGGAAAGCGCGAAAAGCTTTTGCTGTAAAACGGAAGGCGAGAGAGTCGACGAGTCTGTGAGAGCTGAGGAATGCCGCTGCTGCAGCCCATGAGAGCGGGTTCCAAAAGAAAAAACGAAAAATCGGCCTAGGCGGCCTAGGCGGGTTTTTTTTTTAATAAATTTTTTTATAATTATTTTATTTTATATAATTTTAAATTTATATTTATTAGAACCTGATTGCTTCTCACATCCTCACTCACCACAAGGTTTCAGTCCTTTTTAATTCTGGTTTTCTATGGTCCAATTATGAATTTTTATGAATTGGGTTTTCGAATTTGAGGGATTTACTGCTGTGGGTTCATTTGGATTTTGTATTTTAAACAAAATCTGAAGCTGGGTTGTCTTCAGATTGATTATGTTAATTTTTACTTATAATTTGGTTACTTTTGTTACAGGAAGAGATGGAAATGGCCGAAGTGGCTGATGGGGATGGGGAAGGAGAGAGCTGAAATTCCAATACTTGCCAAGAATGTGGTGCTACTTTTAAGAAACCTGCATATCTCAAGCAATACGTGCAAAGTCATTCCCTTGAAGTATTGTTTCCTATTTACTTTAAATTGTTAAAAACCTTCACATGATTCCATACCATAAGTTTTGATGTCTGAAGTTGTCTTAAGGAAACCAGCGGCAGCTTGTATAGCTTGATATTGCTATCGATTAGTTTGATAGCTTCATTACAGCTGATTGTGTCAATAAGTTTCCTTACTTTTCGAGTGAAGGTACTGTAATTTTCGTATCAATTCAAGATAATTTTTTTGCAGGATTCAACATTTTTAACTACCATCCTTTGGATATCGTGAAGCATTGGATCCCACACAAAGAACTCCAAAATTCGCGACGGTTTGACTTGAATGGACCAGTACTAGGTGGGAGACCTCCTGAGAAGCTCTGTCAAGAAAGCCTCAATCACGAACTGTTCAGTTAGAATTAAATGTTAAATCACTTGTATTTTGAAACTATGATTATTGGTTCCTGAATTCATTTAGCTTATTCTTTATAGTGGCCATACATTTTTTCAGTGGATGATTGCCGTTCCAGCTTCAAAAGAAAGGACGACATAAATCATCATCTTCTTCAGCACCAAGGGAAACTCTTTTAAGTGTCCGAGTGAACACTGTAATCGTGGGTTTGTCATGGTAGCTTTCATTTCTGAATTCGATCTTCTTTTTGTATTCTGCCGAATATAGCCGCGCGGCTATACTATTTCTTTGTAAAAAAAATTAAAAACCGAGTATAGCCGGTCGGCGATACTAATTTTTTAGCCGAGTGACGCCGCTCGGCTATACTATTTTTGAAAAAAAATTAGTTCCTTTTAAAAAAGGTGAAAATCCGCGTACAGCCGGCCGGCTATACTTTCTTAAAAAAACTAAAATAAAAGAGCGGCGTAAAGCCGCCCGGCTATACTATTCACCGAACAGAAACCACCACACCACCACCACTTCCGACCACCCCGTCCGACGAGAAGGGTCCCATTCGAACCGAAACCTCCTCCTTGTCTCTACTCGACCCATCTCCACCCCGGGAACCGTCGCAACTCACCGGAAAGTGCAGAGAAACAGGCCGGTTCTTGGACAGACTTTCCCATCTTCGTTCTCTTTCGATTCTTCACCAATTCAGTCGAGTAAGGTATGGATTCTCAGCTATTTTATCTGCTTTAGCTGTTTATGGGGTTGGATTAGAACGATTTTGAAGTTTGGAAGTTGATTTTGGAAGCTAGGTTTTGGCCGGTTTTCAATTTGAAATTCCGGCCAGTTCCCGTACGAATTGGACCTTGTGGTAGTTGAAGAAGATGCTCCATTTGTTGAGTAGTATCTAGAGTAGGAAGGGTGGCTTGTGATTTGGAGATTTTCCGTCGCCGGAAATTTCTCTACACACCCACGCGCTGACGGCGAGTGTGGCGGCGCGTGGGCAAGGATGGATAGGTTGCTTTTTATCTTGATGAGGTCCTTAGGTTGCCACGAGTGCGTAGGATTTCGCGGATCTCAATTTGGATGTCGTTTGACTATCGAACGGATCTCAATTGTGGTTTTGATGAGCTGCTAAAATAGGTTTCAGCCCCGACACAATCACAAACACATTATAACCACATCCCTTCAGGCTACCGACAAATTCAAAACCGAACTTAACAAATCTAATAAATAGGATTCGATCCCAATGACCAAATTAGAGTCCAAAAATATATTTTATCTCGCGGTTGCACCTGGGTGAGACCCGGGTTTTTTAAATTGGGTGGGTCAAGTAGAGGAGGAGAGGAAAAGTTTGCAAGTCGTTTCGTCGAAAACGGTGGCCGGACGAAGCCGGATTCAGCGTCGGAAAATGTTGTTGTGCGACGGTGAGAGAGAGAGAGAGTCGTGGTAGGAGAAAGAGAGAGAAAAAGAAGCTGACCTGAGTTTTAAAATTCTGACCTTGAAATATTTACAGAGCAAAAAGCCAATAACTTACCGATAAGTTATAGCGTGAAAAGCCAATATTTAACCATCATGTAAGTGATGGAGTGAAAAGCCTATAACTTACCGGTAAGTTATGGCGTGAAAAGCCAATATTTAATCGTCAGGTAAATGATTGAGCGAAAAGCCTATAACTTACCGGTAAGTTATTGCGTGAAAAGCCGATATTTAATCGACATGTAAATGATGCAGTGAAAAGACTACAACTTACCGGTAAGTTATCGAGTGAAAAGCCAATACTTTACCAAACATCAAAATAAAGACAATCTGGTGCGCCTCCACTAACGAGCACGCAGTATCGAAGAAACTCTGGCGTACGCATCCCAACTAGGATTTCAAACTTAAAATAATAATTAAAAGATAAAGCTTGAAAAAACCAAGCTATAACAATACAAATAAAATGACAGGACTCGCCCCGAATTCCTCGGAATCCGTGACGGATCCTGTGGTATTTTCGACATCCAACCGATACCGGGCCCACTTACTGATTTCAAATGTCCTCTTCCCCTAAAACAAAGGAAAAGAAGGCCGAGACTTGTACCGAAATTTCGGCAGAGTCTCCCTTGAAAAACGGACTTAACCAAATTTTTCAACCTGTCAAAAACACAGTTTAAAATTTCCACACTTCAGCATGCACAGTCTACCCTCCAGGCATAGTCATAAGTAGTTGTAAGGACTCAATCCACAATCATTCATCAATCTAAAATAGGTTTCAGCCCCGACACAATCACAAACACATTATAACCACATCCCTTCAGGCTACCGACAAATTCAAAACCGAACTTAACAAATCTAATAAATAGGATTCGATCCCAATGACCAATTAGAGTCCAAAAATATATTTTATCTCGCGGTTGCACCTGGGTGAGACCCGGGTTTTTTAAATTGGGTGGGTCAAGTAGAGGAGGAGAGGAAAAGTTTGCAAGTCGTTTCGTCGAAAACGGTGGTCGGACGAAGCCGGATTCAGCGTCGGAAAATGTTGTTGTGCGACGGGGAGAGAGAGAGAGAGAGAGAGAGAGAGAGAGAGAGAGAGAGAGAGTCGTGGTAGGAGAAAGAGAGAGAAAAAGAAGCTGACCTGGGTTTTAAAATTCTGACCTTGAAATATTTACAGAGCAAAAAGCCAATAACTTACCGGTAAGTTATAGCGTGAAAAGCCAATATTTAACCATCATGTAAGTGATGGAGTGAAAAGCCTATAACTTACCGGTAAGTTATGGCGTGAAAAGCCAATATTTAATCGTCAGGTAAATGTTTGAGCGAAAAGCCTATAACTTACCGGTAAGTTATTGCGTGAAAAGCCGATATTTAATCGTCAGGTAAATGATTGAGCGAAAAGCCTATAACTTACCGGTAAGTTATTGCGTGAAAAGCCGATATTTAATCGACATGTAAATGATTGAGCGAAAAGCCGATAACTTACCGGTAAGTTATTGCGTGAAAAGCCAATATTTAATCGACATGTAAATGATGCAATGAAAAGACTACAACTTACCGGTAAGTTGTCGAGTGAAAAGCCAATACTTTACCAAACATCAAAATGAAGACAATCTGGTGCGCCTCCACTAACGAGCACGCAGTATCGAAGAAACTCTGGCGTACGCATCTCAACTAGGATTTCAAACTTAAAATAATAATTAAAAGATAAAGCTTGAAAAAACCAAGCTATAACAATACAAATAAAATGACAGGACTCGCCCCGAATTCCTCGGAATCCGTGACGGATCCTGTGGTATTTTCGACATCCAACCGATACCGGGCCCACTTACTAATTGGAACAATCTAATTATTATTTTAAATTAAAATTATTGCATATGCAAGACGTAATTGTCATTTATTTTTTTGGAGCGCAAGATATTCATGCTGCATGCAGCTAGCTAGGCAACAATTACCAATCCCTTAATTAATATGATTATTCTTGAAGCAGCTCTCATAGCATGAATCCACGAAGCCCTTCACATAGCGTTTATCTACAATTTCAAGCAAATAAAACCAATATACATAGCATATCAATGACCGAAATATAATTCAAAACGAACATGATAAAGCTAGAGAGAGAGAGAGAGAGAGAGAGAGAGAGAGAGGCAGATCAATAATCCCATATGGAAATATGCACATTACCAAAATTGGAAGTTCTTGTGGTGGCAATAGAGTTGGCACAGTTATGTGTACAATTATATACAACATCTGAAGGCCTATGTTTGCATCTGATCATGCACATGCCAAGGCATATTGGGTTCATCAGGCACTTTGTCGCACATTTTAAACCACAAGAAATAAGATGACCATTTGGAACCACATGATTTGTATTGGAAGGATCAATGACATCATCAACTTGACCAAGAGTGTTGCCATTTGAAACCGTATTGGTATAGGAAGGATTAATATCAGCTTGAGCTATTGCAAGCACAAGCATGCTCATCAAAACCACAGCCCTCAAGATACTAGCATCCATACCTCCTCTTTCTTTGTTTCAACTTTTTTTTTATTGAACTCTGTTTGATTGCCGGAGTTTGTTGGTGGAGGAAGTGGAAGCTATACAATTTATAAGGAGACCCTGTGGCCATCTATGGTTCTAAGCATGATTGTAGCTAATTACATGAGCTGTAATGCAGCATATATTGAAGCGATACATACAGGACTATATTATTTTGAGCATAACATACGTGCAGGACTATCATTTTGAGCATAATTGAAGGTCTCTCTTTTGATTTCATTTGTATAAGTCCGAAATATTTATCTGGTGAGCGTCAAATTATTGTTAATTGGTGGATGTAATTTAGGCGGTTTGGTAGTATCATAATATATATTGTTTCTCATTGTACGGAAATGACAGAATTATTGTTTATTTTCTTGATCAATTGCAGGTATGCTTTGATTTGGTTGATCTTGACTGTAATGGAGCCTTTTTCTTTGAAGATCAATTGCGTAGAGTCCCTTTTGATTAAGTCTTTTGTTGGGACAATTATGTGCCTGGTGAAGTTAGTTTTCTATGCTTTTATTTTGCCAACGGGGTCTAACCTAGTAGAAAAGTGTTTTGACTTGCAAACAAGAGGTCTCAGGTTCGAACTCCCATGGCATTTTGACTGTGAGTATGTGAGAAATCCCCTCCCTTGTAGTTTAGACTATCACTTATACTAATAAAATAAAAAAAGCCTTTTTGTTTGGACAAAATTCCTTCATTAATTGGGTCTCACGTCAAAAGTTAAATTTATAATTTAGCAATTTTTGGTGTCTATACATCATTATATTGGGAAAATCCGATTATAGCCGTACGGCTATACTATTTCTTTAAAAAATTAGAAATAAATCGAGAATAGCCGCACGGCTATATTATTTATTAAAAGAGAGAGAGAGAGAGAGAGAGAGAGAGAGAGAGAGCCGAGTAACGCCCAACTTCTTGATAGACATCCATTTCTTAATTGTACCAGGGGTTCCAATCACAATTTGTGCTGATACTGTTGCTCGAGATTGAATGGACGTAGAACTCGTCCTCTCCGTTGGGACAACACACTCTGCATTTATCCCCATGTACTTCCCCATCTTCTGCACTTACCATCATCAATCCTCTAGTCTAAATTGTATATCATTACCCTATCATTTCTATTCAAATATAGAGCGCCTGAGGAGCTTTAACATTGGGATTGACCCGGCTGAGCAACCCCATTTATACATACAAGCCCTTTAGCACCTCCGGCGACAAATTAAGATCCTCGAAGCTACTCGCTGATGTGTACGGTGTGCCGCCGGTCGTAATGAAATCGAATTTTGAAAAAACGAGTATACTATACTATTTCTTTTTATAAAATTAGGTATAGCCTATTTCTTTAAGAAAACATTTTTTAAAACGGGTATAGCCGAGCGGCTATACTATCTCTTTTTTTAAAAAAACCCGTGGTTAAATAAAATAAAATAAAAGAGCCAGAGCCGAGTAAAGCCGCTCGGCGAAACTATTTTAAAAAAAAAATTTCTTTTCCTGACTTTAAAAAGAAATGGGCTCGTTAGCCGATACAGATATATCTTTGGGCCACAAGAAAACCCAATTGCTCTCTTTTACCATTCTTTTAATCTCATGAACTGTGGAAGGGTAAACGACGACGTTTGGTGTGTGTTGTAACCTGGAAAGGGTTGTGACAGAACCGGTTCAGAGTTGAGACGAATGAGAACGACGGCTCTGTCGTACCTTACGGTGGAAAGTAAGAGCTCCGTCGGTTCTGGGTTTGAAAAATCATGGTTAATTTTGAGGTAATTCTTAATAGTCATATTTTGTAACTCTAATTTTCAACAATTTCTGGGGCGTGAGGTTTTCTCGGCTCCGGTTGTGTAGACGCCTATAGGGTTTGGCTCAAACTTTCATTGAATTGTCAATCTTTTTTGTAATTGAATGAAGTTAAAAATTGAAAATTAGAATTGGAGGTTAATGAATGTTGTTCATATATTCCACTGACATTGCAGAAGAAGACATAGTAATCTTTCTCGGCGTCTGTCAATTTTGTCAATTTAAGCTATGTCGTGAATTTAATTCTAGACACCTCCTTTAAATTTTGGATCACCAGTCTCAATTTCATTCACCATTTTCAAAGTGTTTAATGAAACCAAGAAGTTGGGATAGTTTTCAGAGGGACCTTTGAGCTCTGCTAGTTTGAAGATTGGTATCCGTTTGTTTGTTTGGTTGGTTGATTATTGGTATCCATTTATTATGTTATTGGATTTACAAGTACCTGTCATCTAAAATGATCTCTTTCCTTGAGACTAGTCTGAAGCGAAGTATTTGGCATCACTGTATCAGCATGAATGCTGTACACAGGCACTCGTATTGCTTCTAGGAAAATCTAAATTTTACTATGTTCTGATGACCTGTATTTGGCATCTGTTTAAGTTTTAAACTTGTGCAGATGTTTAAGCCTAGGATTTTCCTTCTGGGGTTGGTTGGTTCTTTAGCGACGATTTTTATTTCACCGCAAAAATAGCTTTTTGCAACGGTTAGCGACGGCTTTTACAGTCGAAGAAGACTTTTTACAAATGAGACACCTAAAAGTCGTCACGAAAGGTCTAAATTGCGTTACTAAAGAACGGAAACCGTCGGAAAAGCTACAAATTCGTCATTTTAAACAAGACTGTGCTTCTGCCTCTGTTTCTCGAAAGAAAGAGATCTTCTTTCACTTAAAATACAACAGGCAAATTAGCAAACCATGAAAGAAGCTTTTATTTCTCATTTGTCTGTTGCTATACATGTAATCAACATGGGGTCTGATGTTTTTAATGTAACTCTATAATCAACTCTAAGAACAATTGTGGAGTTTTTTTATTTATAAAGAACAAAATAATAAAAAATAAAAAAGAAATAAGGTCCACAAAGCGATAGAAATATAATTGGGGAAATCTTATTAAAATAGTGATTACAAACAATTGAGAAATATGTGGGTCATATTCTTTTTCCTTTTAGCAGATTTGTCTTTCCTTTGAAATAAAATTCCTTAATTAGCAGCTTATTTTGGTGTTAACTCAAAAGTAAAGTTGTGATACTTAATTTAGTAGTTGGTGTCTATCTCTATCGGACCATAGTCTTCAATCAATCAAAGGGCTTTGACTTGAAAGAAAATAAGAATATTACAAAAGTCAACTGGGAATTTTCATTAGATTTTAATTACCAATTTACCATGAATGCGAAGTTGCCTATGCTTTTATACAGAATGAAATATTACGATGTTCACAAATGAATATCAGATCGTTTATACAGAATGATCTATGCATGGCTAATGCTCTAAGTTAAATAGGAATGTTATGAGAATAGAAGTCATATATATGCATGGCTCATGCTCTTAATTTTGTAAGCATCCTTCTGCTATATATAAAAGCAAATAGATGTTGTTGCGGGAACCAACATTTTATCTTTGTGGTTGTAATTCCAATAACAAAGTAAATTTCTTACTTGAGATGAAGGGAAAAATGGTGTTGTTTTGATTGTATGGAACATATATGATATGTATAAGTTTTGAATGTTTGGAACAGAGGCTGATTTTTTTTTTTTTACTGTTCTGAGGTGAAGTATTTGGCTTCATTATGAATGCTATAAAAGAAGAATATCAAAAAACAATACAAGCACTAGTATTGCAGCTAGGAAAACATAAATTTAACAATTTCCCGGTGTATTTGTAATTGTTGAATAATTTCTCTCTTTTATTACGGGGTCGGTGAATTTTCTTTCTAATCATGAATTAAGGCTTGAATTTATTAAGGGAAAAAAAAAAACAGAGTTGTGTAAAGTCGCGTGGCTATACTATTTTTAAAAAAAGAAAAGAAAAAAAAAGGCGTATAGCCGTTCGGCTATACTATTTACTTTGGAAAACATACAAATTATACACAACATCCAAAGGAGTTAACTTGCATTTAATCATGCATATGCAAAGGCATATTGGGCTCAACATGCATTTCCTCGCACATCATAAACCACAAGGAATAAGATGACCATTTGGAACCACAAGGTTTGTATTGGAAGGATTAGAGACGTCATCAATTTGACCAAAAGTGTTGCCATTTCGAAGGGATTAATATCAGCTTGAGCTATTGCAAGCACAAGCATGCTCATCAAAACCACAGCCCTGAACAAACTAGCATCCATTGCTCCTCACTTTTGTTTGTTTGTTTGTTTGTTTTTTTTTAATCATTAAACTCTGCTTGATTCTCGAAGTTGTTGGTGGTGGAAGTGGAAGCTAAAGCCACAATTTATAGGGAGACAAGTGTTAATTATTGTGGTTTGCCTTTTGTTCTGTTGTTGGTGGTGATTCATTGTTGTGTTGCAGTGGTGGAGTGGACAAATGAATCTCTTCAAGGTCTTGGAAAGGGTACTCCCTTTTCACCCTACTTGACACAAAAGTATTTCTCCAGAGTTGCATCTGCACTTGAGAAAAATGACAATCAACTATCCGCAGTGAGTCTAGAGTTTCTACCTTTTCGTTTCCTTCATCATGTGGTTGCATTCCTTTTGATAGGTTTTGTTTTCTAGTAGATCCCCTATTCTAAAAATAACATTTGTAATCATTATGTTTTTTTTTTTTTTTTTTTTTTTTTTTTTTTTTTTTTTTTTTTTTTTTTTTTTTTTTTTTTTTTTTTTTTTTTTTTTTTTTTTTTTTTTTTTTTTTTTTTTTTTTTTTTTTTTTTTTTTTTTTTTTTTTTTTTTTTTTTTTTTTTTTTTTTTTTTTTTTTTTTTTTTTTTTTTTTTTTTTTTTTTTTTTTTTTTTTTTTTTTTTTTTTTTTTTTTTTTTTTTTTTTTTTTTTTTTTTTTTTTTTTTTTTTTTTTTTTTTTTTTTTTTTTTTTTTTTTTTTTTTTTTTTTTTTTTTTTTTTTTTTTTTTTTTTTTTTTTTTTTTTTTTTTTTTTTTTTTTTTTTTTTTTTTTTTTTTTTTTTTTTTTTTTTTTTTTTTTTTTTTTTTTTTTTTTAATCATTAAACTCTGCTTGATTCTCGAAGTTGTTGGTGGTGGAAGTGGAAGCTAAAGCCACAATTTATAGGGAGACAAGTGTTAATTATTGTGGTTTGCCTTTTGTTCTGTTGTTGGTGGTGATTCATTGTTGTGTTGCAGTGGTGGAGTGGACAAATGAATCTCTTCAAGGTCTTGGAAAGGGTACTCCCTTTTCACCCTACTTGACACAAAAGTATTTCTCCAGAGTTGCATCTGCACTTGAGAAAAATGACAATCAACTATCCGCAGTGAGTCTAGAGTTTCTACCTTTTCGTTTCCTTCATCATGTGGTTGCATTCCTTTTGATAGGTTTTGTTTTCTAGTAGATCCCCTATTCTAAAAATAACATTTGTAATCATTATGTACTTGCAAGAAAATGTTAAAAATGAAAAGTTGCAAGAAAATCAAATGAACAACAATAAAAGAGTTAGCTGGCTTCCTTCCTACATGACCATTGAAAAAAACGACCAGACTCAATGCTACCACTGAAGTTTCTAACCCTACAAAAAATCTTAGTATCTACAGGTCAGTACATTTTAATTTTAAATTTTCTTTTTGTAATTAAATAAAATCTTAGCCTTATTTAATTACTTTCATTAGTAATTATGTTTTAGTCATTATTTATTTTTGTGAATAATTAGTATTAAATATTTTAATTAACTTCATAAATATATTACTTAACAAATAGTAATTGGTTTTTTTAATTTTTTTCTTTAATAAAATACTTAAATACTAATTATTCACTAAGTAAATAATAATTAAAACATAACTACAAAATAAAGTAATTAAAAAAGAGAAATTCAGATTACGATGTTTCAAGGGTATAGCCGTGCGGCTATACGTTTAAAATATTATGTTAACGGAGCCTTACAAAAACAAATTTATGTCCGAAGTGCTAAATTGAATCAATAAATTTGTGATCATGAAAATACTTCAGTAATTCGCTGACCCGCTTGAGAAGTTATTTTATTGCTTGTGTACATATCCACATGACATGTTGATGTGATTATCAAAAAATTTTCAAATTATTATAATTCGTGCACAATAGTTATAAAATTCAAATTTTACACAAAAAGGAACAATAAGAGAAAAAACTGTAGCCAAAGGTGGTTCATATGGTAGATCCAAAGATTCCTATGAAGATGAATCCATTCTCTTAGAAAGGTTAGAATGGTGGTTCATATTTTTTTGAAAATAGTATAGCCGCCCGGCTATACCAATTTTAACCTAATTTTTTAAAAACAAGTATTGCCCGGCGGCTTTACTCGGTATTTTCTTAATTTGAAAAAAAAATTAGTATAGCCGTTCGGCTAGACTCGGTTTTTAAAAATATTCTGACGAATCGGACTCGAACTCATCATATCGAACGTCTAGGGCACAGAGCAAGCCCGTTCCAGGTTTTGAGCAGTGTTCGAGATATCGGCCTAGGCGCTAGGGGGGAGGACACCGACACCAGGGAGTTAGGGGGGGCCTAGGCGGCTTGGGAGGATCTAGGCGGCGCCTAGGCGGCCTGGGCAAATCTAGGCAGCCTGGGAGGATCTAGGAGGCACCTAGGCGGCCTGGGCGGCGCCTAGGCAACCTGGGCGGATCTAGGCGGCACCTAGGCGGCCTGGGCGGGTCTGGGCGCCAGGGCGGGTCATGTCCTTGTTTTTCCAAATGAAGACAGACGAAGCTTGCTGGTGCGAAGGAGCGAAGGTGACATGTATATGGTGTGTGTATGATAATTGTATGAATATATATTAACATTATGGAATTTGTGATGCAATTGGAGTTCTCTGACAAACTCGCCATAATAATTTGCACATTTTCTGGTGGTTAAACAAATAGGATTGTCCTTGCTTGCTATTTCTTTTATCTCCTACTGACCTCTATTTCTGTTTACTGTCTTATGCTGTCATATTGAGATAACGAAGTCACATGAATTCGCTCAGGCTGCTTTTCGTGGATATAAGTCTCTGAACCGTATTCAGAGCCGCATATTCCGTACTCTTTATTACACTAATGAAAATATACAAGTAAGTTATTGATTCTGTTGATTATGTGAATACCAAACCATTGCAGTGAAAGTGCTGATATGATACTTGCATGTTTGTGCTCCAACAGGAGCTGGCAAAACCAACATAGCTGTGATTTCTATTCTACATGAGGTATGCAAATGATTGGCTATTCCTGGGTCTCTATTCTCATTTTTGGTAATCATACTTTTTCTCTTACTACTTTGGCTTGATCTCAAATTCACACATTTGTTTTTGTATTGTGTAAGAGTTAATCTGGGTTAATTGCATAGTTAAAATGGCACGGGAACGGCTGTAATGTTATATGAGCTGGTATTGTATATATTTTTCTGGGAGGGTTTAGTGTGTTAAAGATATCAGCTTGCAAAATAAAGCAAGGAAACTAGGCTTTTGGCTGCACTATTTAGTTTTTGAAAATATTCAATATATCATCCATTCTGAGATTTAGATAGTGAGTCGGCATTTTCTGTGGCAGATTGGACAGCACTTCAAAGGCGGTTACTTGCATAAAGATGAATTATAGATAGTTTATTTTGCGCCAATGAAGGTATCCACCCTATATATATAACTTTTTCCTATTTTTATTTTCTGAGTGGAGGGGGTTGGGGGAAGGAGGCATTGAAATAGTGGCTTGTTACTTATTATCATTTATTTTTCAGGCATTAGCTGCAGAAGTTACATAAACTTTAGTCATCGCGTATCTCTATTGAATATGACTGTGAGAGAACTTACTGGAGACATGCAGCTTTCTAAGAACGAACTTGAAGAAACTCAGGTCACTTTTATCAATTATGCGTGATCCGTGTGCAAAAACTGTTACCCAAAAGAGGAAAATGAAAACCTTAATGGCTTCACTTTCTTCTTATTAAGATGATAGTCACTGATTGATTATTTTTTCATATAAAGTGATTAAATGCTTTTAGATTTTGACATTATGGGTCCACTGTGTTTCCTATTATGGTTATAGAATTCTTTGGTTTCTGTTTTTTCAGTTGTTTTTGTTTGTTTGTTTTATTCACACTCAGAAGTCTGAATGATATTTGCTCAGTGATGCTATTCATGTATGTAGTCTTTTGCACATCAGCTTGCCCGAGCATGGATAGTTATGATTTTTAATGTTATTTAATGGATTCTAAGTTTCTTTTAGATGAATGTTTAATCACTATTTTAATTGTTGATATTTGTTTAAGTTCTTTGATTGATCACCTTAGGGCTTTGCATCTAGTAAATTGGAAGAGGAATTTGAGGTAGAACTCGCAATATAATTCAATCAGCTTCTTGTGATTAAGTGTGGTGAATTACATTATTGCTTGACGAAGAATAATGGTTTGCTTGGTTCTCTCGTTTTCTAGAACGTAATGAATTCAACTTGTTAAATTTATGCCTTAACCAGGATAGGTTGCAGGATTGGATATATGATCTTTGTCTGAACTAGAAAAGAATCGTACACTTAAGGAAAACTATGGTCTGAGTGCCTGAAAAGGACTTAGATACGGGAATTATCATCTAAAGAATCAAAAGAATCTATTAATGAAAATAATTAAATAAGGCTAAGATGTTATTTAATTACTAAAAAATAAATTTAAAATAAAAATTTATTGACTTAAAAATACTAAGTTCAAATTTATTTTTCAAATTTGTGGTCTCGTGTTTTGCAAGTGCATATTGATTTCTCTTCCATCCAGTTTGGTTGTATTTGGCATGATATGGAAATCAATGCACCCTGGTGTGCTTCATATCTTGTTGATAGCTTTTTTGGGGTTCTACTCACTTGGTAATCCGGTGCCCTCCAATGCTTATGTATCCTTCCTAGTGCTTTACTGATGACCCGGGTCTTATATGTTTCCTGCTGTTTTCGAGATTCATCCCTTGTAATTTTGCAATAGTTTCTCTCTTTTAATGCGGTGTTGATTTAGTCCTGAGTTAAGTTGCCTATTATTTTATTGCTTGTGTACATATCCACATGACATGTTGATGTGATTTATCAAAATTTTCTCAAATTATTATAATTCATGCACAATAGTTATAAAATTCAAATTGTACACAAAAAGAAGGAACAATAAGAGAAAAAATCGTAGCCAAAGGTGGTTCATATGGTAGATCCAAAGATCCAAAGATTCCAATGAAGATGAATCCATTCTCTTAGAAAGGTTAGAATGGTGGTTCATATTTTTTGGAAAATAGTATAGCCGCGCGGCTATACGCGTTCTCCCCAAATTTATTTTAAAAATAGTACTTCCACGTGGCTATACTAGGTTTTTTCCTAATTTTATTTTAAAAGTAGTACAGCCGATCGGCTTTACTCGGCATTTTCTTAATTTTTTTTTTAAAAATAGTATAGCCGTTCGGCTATACTCGGTTTTTAAAAATATTCAGGCGAATCGGACTCGAACTCATCACTACGAACATCTAGGGCACAGAGCAAGCCCGTTCCAGGTTTTGAGCAGTGTTCGAGATATCGGCCTAGGCGCTAAGCTGGAGGACACCGACACCAGAAAGTTAGGG